CCCGCCGAGAGCACTTTGCAAAAGAGCAAAATTGGCATGTTTCTCTGTTAAGATGAAAATTCTGTGGTTTTCTCCAGTAAAGGGGAAAATCCGTGTTTTTTTCTGTTTCCCCATGGGAAACGGAAAACCCAGATCCCTGTTAATAATGTATGGCTGCAGTGCTTATTTGGTGCACCTCTTACCCAAAGTCTTCAGTGCTGCAGAAATGAAGGCTAATGTTGAAATTGCAGAATAGTTCTGTAACAACCACTTTGCAGCCGCTGCTCTGAAGAAAGCAGGAGGAACCAAACTAACTTTCTCACAAGATATATGATGGAACTCAGTAGTGGACTGTTTTGAGTGATATATTGAGAACTGGCTTAATCTGATGACAAATTGTGAACATAATTGTGAGAAAAATCGATGGAACTGTCGTAGCCAAAGTTTTCAACATTGAGCTAAAGAGAAATGTAGAACGTATGCTGACTATCCCAAAGCCTATTTCCATAGCCTTGAACAAAGGGCAGGAAAATCACTGTTTTATTGCTGATGCTGTTGAAATTTGGAAGGAATTGAATGAGACCTTGGAAAGAGAAATACACAATGACAGAGTTAAATTACAGGCATTAAAAAAGGAATGAATCAAGCACTATCTCCAGCTCATTTTCTTGCCAATATTCTCAATCCTCAGTACCTCAATCCTTAACTGCTGAAGAAGAGTAGTTGGCTATGACATGGGCATCTAGCAATTATGCCTGCATAACACCAACTATAATAAATTTCAGGGCTAAGGGTGAACCATTAAAGAAATATGCTTTCTGATGAGGTTTTAAAGGAAGTCACACCAGTGAACTGGTGGAAGATAAGCACCTGGATCCATCAGAGACTATTGAAGTGATCATCCAGTTTTTAATAGTAGTGCGGCGTGTGTAGATGAAACGGGGACCCTAAATTGAAGTGGCGGGTTTTAAAAAACACCGCTTCAATTTAGGGCTAATTAAACCCCTGTGTCGTGCACACCCCGCTGACTTACCTGCCTTTCCACCTGGGAGGGTGAGCTGCACCTGCCCACAGGCACCTGGCTCAGGTGGTCCCAGGGGGTACCGCAGCCACGGAGGGAAGCACCAGGCCCCTGTGCAGCTCAGGCAGGCAGGCAGGCTCCAGGAGGGGGGCTCAGGTTCACCACTTTTCTTGGTCACAGGCTGATTTCCCAGACTGCTCACAGGTTGCCTGCAGGGCTTCCTGCAGAGCCATGGAGATGCACAGAGCCTGGTGCTTTGCTCCATGGCTGTAGGGGCAGTTTGCTGTGCCCCAAGTCATTGAAGACACATTACGCCGCCGAATTTCCTACAGCAGCTGGAATTAATGCACAATACGCTGCTGAGGCGTGCAAACACCAACACCATCAAAGTGGTGCAAAAACATTTAGCCCGCTTTAAAGTGTCATGCATACACACCTCTTGTTTACTTTTTCTGCAGGTGTAGAGAGAATATTTTCTTCCTGGACAAATTCATTCTAAATTGAGAAATTGCTTGGGAACTGAAAAAGCAAGAAAGCTTGTCTTTCTTTTGCAGTCTATGAATAAACAGAAAGAGGAAGGTGAAGACTGAGTTTGCGGCATAACCCAGTATTTTAAGTTTCTCATCTTGGCTGAAATAATCTATTTAATTTTTGTTAAAAACAAATTTCACATTTATAACCAATATAGTTAAAAATTCAAAATATGCTTCTTTTGTTAAAATAATTATCCATGTTTGTTGTTGAAGAAAAATATCCAAAATACATAAGCTTCTTGTTTTATTTAGATGTTTAAATTGTTTTATATTTATTTATTTATTTATTTAAATTAAACAATTTAAACATCTGTTGTTTTTGGTGACCACTGCTGTTGCCCTCCTAATACAGTATGGCAAAAACATCCCCTAAATATCCATGATTAATCTAGTGTACAGGAGATAGTTCACTTCCCAATGACTTCACAAGTATTTGCTTCAATTAGCTTTGGTAAATAAAATAACTAAATCATAATTCAGTTTTCTGATGTAGCTGCAAAATTAATCTGAAAAAATTTCAAAATAAATCGCTGCTTTAAAATGTAGTGGGTATGTTCTAAAAATGAAACCTACATCTATCTCTGAATTGTGAATAATACGTATTGAAGTTATATCAAACAGCAAGAAAGCCCTTTTTGGTAGAAAACAGGCTTCCTGACCAGCGATTTAAATTGTGATTTAAATCTATTTGATTTAAATCAAATCCACCCTAATTCAGGGGTGCCTTTTCTGTGATTGATGGAGTTTTGTGCGTGGCTGGCTTCTGTCTGAAAAGCCCTTGTGTTTCTGAGGCTGCTCTGAAGCAGTTAGAAATGCTCAGAGATGATGCTTACAGCTGAGATGCAGCCAAGTGGTTTGGAAGAGACCTGGGAGCTGTGGAGTGGCAGTGAAGGTGACCGAGAGCAGCAGAAAGGAGCAGTAGCCTGGTGGAGAGACTCCAGAGAAAGCTTCGCTCCCCAGAGCACTTCTGCAGGGGTAGGTGGTAGCACCCCTTGGAAACTGCATAACCTGTAGGAGCAAGGGTTCGACTTGCCTAAAACTTTGGCCCTTCTGAGCCAGGACACCAAACAGTGAGTGGGGCATAACAAGGGGACCAGGGTAGAGCCAGCTACCTCAGCACCCCCATACAGCTGAGGGAGGAGGGTGGGTTCAGAGCTATTCCCCGGCTGGGAATGGGGCATAGTCACCCTCACTGTTGGTTGATTATTCATGTTTCCCTACGCTGCTTTCCATGTTTCTCTTTTCGCTTTCATGAAGTCTGATCTGGTAGTGAAGAAATAGTATGTCCCATGAATGAACTTCCTGTATGATATAATTTAGTTTCCTGCATTTCTGGTCCGGTGCTTAAACTTGTATGGGTGAATTTGTTAGGAGGTGTTTCTAGGAAGTGAATGTGAGCTTTCAGGTGGGCAAACCGTGCCTGGTAGAAGGATTACACCTGGGCCAATTAGCCGGGTGTACAAGTTGGACTACATGTGTTCACTTCCTGATTGGCTGGGAGGCCCTCTAAGTACCCACTTAGAGCAACAGGCCACAGGCTTGCCTCCGAGTATGGGTGCTTTGTGCCAAAACACCCTCACTCTGTCTCTGGCTCTAGCCTTTTTGAGAGGTAGCTAGCCATGTTAGTTTGATTGTTAGTCTGAAGTCAGTCAGAAGGCAGGGTCGATATGTACCTTCATAAAATAATAAATACCAATAAAACAACTAGATAAGATAAATAGAGAGCATGAGGTTTCATGAACCCAAGTTCACTTCATCAGATGCCAGCACATCTTCCTGATCTGGTTTGTTCCCTCGTTGTGTGACCCCAGTTCCAAGCCTCAGCTCTTCTCACTGGGTCTGACTGCCCATGTCCTAGTAGCATATCACACTGTCTAAATCTCTACCAGTCATCTTACAGAGAGCTTAAGCTCTAGTTGATCTTTCAGCTGTACCAATAACCTGTTCCACTCAGATTTATTTTCTTTAATTTCTTTTTATTCCGGGGGTTCAGGAATTGCTCTGGGACCAGGGTGGGGCTTGAAGCAGCACCTCTTTAATGGCACCATTCCAGTTGCCTCTTGCTTCTGGAGTGCCCCTCTGCCAGACCTCTTCTTTCTTGGAAGGGGAAGCCCCTTAAAGGCATAATTCCCAGTACCACAGGGTGCTCACCTTCCTGGGGCTGACTGATAATGCAAGGAAGGGATGTGGAGTTCCCTACCCTCAGCTGTGGCAAGCAGTGCATGGACCCTGGAAGTTATTTGTGCTACAGAAGCAGAGGCCTTTTTTGAGACTGGGACCCTACTGTAGCAGCATGCCAAATTCAGGGTCTTACCAAATGCCTCATTATACCCCAAAGGTGTGAACAATCCTGAAAGATGCCTTTAGATCATAACAGAACCCTTATCAAGTGAAATGGGGCATGCTGTAATTAATTGTTTTCCCTTAATCAAAAACAATAGGTTTTTTAAACTATATACATCATTTTAAGGCCAGAATTTTTAATTTTCATTCAGGCAGGAATCAACAGTTGTCAAAATGAGAATTACTGGCATTTGCATGTTTGGGGAATCCAGCAGACAAATGGGTTATTTGTCCACAACAGGATATGTTCTCATGTGCTTTGGGCCCAGCTCTCTAGGAGGGGCCTGTGACACATAGTGTTGCAACAAAATGTTGAGCCCTCCCTTTCCATTCCAGTCTTGCTCCCCCACAGTGTCCCCGCTCTGTTTGTGCCCACAGATGCTTATGTTGCTACTTCTGGCATTACCTGGTGAAATGGCTTTCCAGGTATAAGCAGTGTCATCCAACCTGCATGCCTTAGCAAGTGCAGGATGGCACTGAATTTGTCATCTGGCTTTGTATATAATGTATGGGCTAAGTGTACACTGAGAGCTGGCCCAGCATCCCCTGGTCTGAGTTCCCTGCTCCCTGCAGTTTCCCAAGGAGCTGTCCACACTGCAGGTCACCAGCCCAGGGCCTAGAAGATGATTGTTAGCTCTAGTGACTTGCACACTGTCATCACAAGTGTCTATCCTGCTGTCTAGCACCCTTGGGCAGGGAGAGCTGCCCAGGTATCCAGGGGTTAGCGTTCACACTCCCATGTCCCTGCTCTGATTCTGTTTCAGAGAGAGGCTGTGGGTCTAGGTTTTGAGGACAGCTGGAGCCAGCAGGGTTTGGCAGTGTAGCACATCAATGTTAAGGTGCAATAGAAGAGGACATGGACAAGGATATGCCTGCCCTCTCACTCACTGGTGGGGTCCAGTTCAAGTTCTCAACTGTTCAGTCTATCAAAGAGAAACAATTCACTCCAACAGTTTTACATTCTTTATTCTACTATGGTAGTCATAACAGCTGATGCTTGCTTGCCAGTTTAACTCCCTGTGGGATCTGGGATCATCTGATTCATACATGTTGGGGGTTCCAGAGAAGTTCAGACTGTCCAGGGCCAGTCTCCATGGCCATGTTCTGGGAATGGCATTGTCTGTTCACACCACAGGAGCCAGGCCCACCTGGCGGTTGGCTCTGTCGAAGACGGTGTAGTAATGGCGGAGGAAGACGTCACCAAGGATCCAGAGTTGACCAGAGTCCGTGGGGACACTGATACCTTCAAAGTTGCATGTGCAATAGCCTGTTGACTGCATCAGGGAAAATGCACAGGGCAATTATAAGGTGGCAGGTCCACCAAGCCCTTGAGCAGCAGCTCTAGAGGACTCATGTATTGTAATGACTTGGGTTGCTGTGGGATCTCCATAGCTAAACTGCATTAGTTTGGGTGAGGACTTAGATGGGAAGCCTCTCAGGGTCAGGGAGAAGGTGCAGGAAGAGCCACTGGGGAGTTAACACTGACCCAATGCAGCTTGCTGCTTTCAGGTCCCTTGTGATAGCTAAAGAGGCCTTTCTGAGAGAGAGGGTCTTCTCACCAGTGCCTTGCTGCTATGCTAAATCCTGCCATGTTTGTAACTGGGTAGGGGCTTCCCCTGGCTGTTTCTCTATTCCTCTGTGGCCAGGGGTTGTTAAAACTCTTGTTCCACCTCAGTGGGAAGGGCATGCTTTGATCGCAGAGGAAGACAACTACTTCCTTAACCCCAAACACATCTACTTGGGAGCATAAGGGACTGCTATCTCTTCATTTAACTCCCCACTAATCTCCCCTGCCTTGGTGATATCCTGAGGTGACCAACTCTGTGGGCTAATCCCCTTGAATTTCCTACTTTGGGATTCCCTTGACCTTGACTGTTTCTCTTCCTGGATCCCTTAGGGGAAAGGCTTTCTGCACTTCGTGTATTAGGGGCAGACTGTGGGCTGTGTGAAGTTTCTGGAGCCTCATGCTTTAGATGTGCAAGGGGCTGTTAGTAACCTTGGGTATAAATTCTTGCTAAGAGGCCCCATGTCTGATTTCTGGTCAGGACACTCACCTGGGATATGTAGGCACTGGCAGGCAGAGGGAACTCAATGCCATGGATGATGAAGATGACATCAGGCAGGTGGTTGATGTCACGGCAGTTCACTGTATACTGTAGGGAGGAAAGTAACACACATGAAGGAACAGTCACATGGCAGGTACTAAACTCTTCACCGAGGCAGATGGATTGAGGGGACAGAGGAAAGTTGCCTGGGATCAGAAATGGAGTTTAGATAACAGTCTCTCTGTGACTGGGCCAGCTCCACAGACTGAGCCAGGCACATCTGGATCTGAGAGCAAAAGCCCCATTAGCTGAAGGCTCCTGATGCTGGCTCTAGCTTCCAAAGTTAAAGAACCAACTTTGAGAGGTCAGAGAGAGTAGCAGATTATGACCCTCTCTACACGGTCTGGCCCCTAGAGGATGGCAGAGAATCTCTCTGTGTTCACGTGGGTCATAGGAGGGTGGAAACTGTAGGGCTGCCGGTGAGTGACCATGTTTAATCCCATTCTTACTGATTGTAGCCTGTGGATGAACACATAGGGAGCCAATGGCTCAGTCTCACCTGTGTGTAGCAGAGACCTGCCAATACTCACACCTTCTCCCTGCACTAACCTCGCCATAGGAATTCTGGCTGATGCCAATGTGTTTCAGGATGAGGAAGACATCATTTGGTGGCCCAGTCAGCAGAGAGGTGCCAGTGTCAATGATGGCCTGACAGCCAGTAGTACAAGCAACGGCTTCGCCATTTATCATAATTCTGGAAAAGAGAAGATCAGGTGAATGATCCCAAGAAGAGCTCTGATCTCATTCCCTCTCCTTCCTTCTCATTTCTTGAAGGCATGAACCTTCAGAGGCAGCCCTATGGGGAGGGGAGCAATCCTACCATCCCATTGCTCCAACCGCCAAGAACTTTCTACTCCTGTCTCTTCCTAGATTATGTCTTCCTTTGCTACTTGCCCTTGCTCCTTGTCCTAACCCCTGCAAATAAACACCATCACTTCATTGCTTGTGTGAGGGGATCATGCGAGCACGTTAAGCAGAGCTGGGCAGATGGTAGAGGGTTCCTGGTGTGCAAAACCTTGGGAGCTGCTGGGACAACCTCCTTGCTGCTAAGACCCCTGCCCGTGGTTCTCTAGAAGGTGCTATCATGGCTCTCTGCTTCTCATTTTCTCTGGATTCTGTAATTTGAGCCATCCCAGGCATCTTGCCCCCAATTTTCTTGTTTTTTCCAATAACCCCAGGTGGCTCTGTGAAGGGGAAGCACCAAGCAGCGGTAGTTACCTGTCCATGGTGATTTGCCAGTAGGTTTCAGCAGACAGGGGAATCCATTTGAGGCTCCCGGAGTAGTAAGATGAGTCAATGCCACCAAACATCACAAAGCTCCCACTCTCTTTACTAGGAAAGGGGGAGGGAAGGTTATGGAAAAATACCTAAGTAATTAGCTAAAGCAGCTACAGGAGACATGATAATTAGGACTAGGCTATATTGGACTACAGCCAGAATGGAACACTTCTCAGTGGAGCCACGTATACCATCATTTAGCTGTCAGAGATACAGTACTGTGAATAAGCAGCAGCCCCGACTTGGATATCCCCTTGAGCTGTGTCCTTGGCAGGTCTCAAAAGCTAAACAAGGTTATCACAACACTAATATTAATGACACAGTGGGTGTATCTATATGAGAAGCTTTACTGCGCAGTAAATTAATCTAACATGCAAGAAAGCATCAGCATCTACATGTGCGCAGGACTTACTGCACAGTAAATTAGACTAATGTGCTTTTTGCTAGTACCGAGAAATACAGGGTGTCTGTACATGTGCTCCAGGGTAGAGGTGAGGGATGCTTTAATTAGAGTGGTTCTGAGAGCCGCTCTAATTAAAATGCCTGCAGCATCTCATGTATTCAGTGCCCGCACTTCAAAATGGTGATAGAGGCACTTGAACTAAAGTTTGTTCGATGAGCTTTAGTTAAAGCACCTAGACCACCATTTCAAAGTGTGGGGACACTGAATAGATGTGAGGTGTAAACTGCTGGAATATGTTAATTAGCATGCTCCAGCAGGTTTGATTAATCTAAGTAGCACATGTTGGAGCAGACATCTGGCATGTGAATAGGTGCTCACAGGTACTAGATTAATGGCACATTAGCTACAGCACAGTAGCGGACGTATAGATGCTGGCCAGGAGCAATTCACTTCCAGTCAGCCCAGAGATTGGGGGTCTGCTATTGCCTGGCTAAGCCCCCATGCAGGGGAAGCTGTGCCAGCATCCTGATCTCCACATGGCTAGGAGAGCTGTCAGTTCTGCTGCATCCCAGCCACATGGAGATTGGGTCAGGATTTGGCTGGGTAGCTGGACCTGGGGTTTACAGTGGACATTAAGATGAATATGAGTCAGCAGTGTGCCCTTGTTGCCAAAAAGGCATACTGGGCTGCATTACTAGGAGCGTTGCCAGCAGATGGAGGGAAGTAATTATTCCCCTCTATTCTGCACTGGTGAAGCTATATTTGGAGTACTGTGTCCAATTTTGGGCCCCCCACTACAAAAAGGATGTGGACAAGTTGGAGAGAGTCCAGTGGAAGGCAACAAAAATGATTAGGGGGCTGGGGGACATGACTTATGAGGAGAGGGTGAGGGAACTGGGCTTATTTAGTCTGAAAAAAAGAAGACTGAGGTGAGGTTGGTAGCAGCCTTTAACTCAGGGGTGGGCAAAATATAGCCTGCAGGCCGGATGTGGCCCATGAGGCCATTCTATCCAGCCCACAGGGCCCCTAAAAATTTTAGAAAATTAATATTTATTTGCCCCTGGCTGCCTGTCATGCAGTCCTCGATGACTTGCCAAAACTCAGTAAGCGGCCCTCCGCCCCGAAATATTTGCCCACCCCTGCTTTAACTGCTTGAAGGGAGGTTCCAAAGAGGATGGACCTGGACTGTTCTCAGTGCTGGCAGATGAAAGAACAAAGAGCAATGGTCTCAAGTTGTAGCAAGGGAAGTTTAGGTTGGATATTAGGAAAAACTTTCTCACTAGGAGGATGGTGAAGCACTGGAATGGGTTACCTAGAGAAGGGGTGGAATCAACATCCTTGGAGGTTTTTAAGACCCAGAGAGACAAAGCCCTGGCTGGAATGATCAAGTTGGGGATGGTCCTGCTTTGAGCAGGAGGTTGGACTAGATGACCTTCTGAGGTCCCTTCCAACCCTAATTTTCTATGATCCTATGAAAATGGGTTGACATAAAACTGGTTTTCCAACAAATCTTGCCAGCATTATACAGGAAATATACCTCTTATGTAAAAACAAAACCGACCAAACTGAAATGTCCTCTTCAAATACCAAAGGGTTCAGTGCCTTCTTGTAATTTATTTCTCATGCCTAAGGCTTTCTGACTCTGAGTGTGGGCAAGCATTCAACAGGCTGCCTAGAGAAGTGGTAGACCCTCTGTCCCTAGATAGGTTGGACAGGTACTTGATTGGGGACTGGACTAGATGATCTTGTGAGGTCCCTTCCAGCCCTACTTTCCAATGAACCTACATCCCCATTTCTTTTTGTGGGCTGGGCTGCCCGGTCAGACTCCATTTCCCATGATGTAACTGCCCCCCACTCCTTGAATGGAAACAATTGTTCATTGTGTGATGTAGTCCGATGGGGAAGATTTGTCTAATACAGAAGAAACAGACTGTGATGCACCTAACTACAACATAAACAAGTCACCACGACATTACCTGATCAAGATCTATGGGGTTTTGATATTTTGCCAGGAAGCTGATGTATTCCACCTAAAATAGCTCATTTTCCAACCAGTTCTAGTTACTAGATTCATCTTATGTAAAGTCCCCTTACAGTTTTCATTAACGATATTAGTCATTTCTGCTCCCTGAACTTCACTGGCTCAGTAACACGGAATGGCTGTTGCATTCCACCCCAAAGTTGGCTCGATTTTGGGAATTCTGGTATAAGCCATTTGTTCAGTGATTTTTCAGTGTGGGAAACAGGAAAGAAGGTGAATCCCACTGCTGCCAAATGGGCGGTTTCCAGCCATGACTTACGAGGTCAGGTAGACAGAGAAGAGATCCTGGGACACCAGGTGTTTATTCATCATGTTGTCAAAGACAGGGGTTGCTCCTGCGAGAGAGATGCTAGGGAAGGCCAGACCCAAGATTCCATCGAAGGAGAGGAAGTAGAGGGTGAAAAAAGACTCATTCGTGCTCAAGCCAAAGATCTGGTGGGTGATCTGAATGCCTCCAACCTTCAGGGAGAGATGAGGAAATTGAGACATATACTGTGGGAAAAGCCACCCTGGCCCACCAGAGGGACCTATCAGGATGGAGAGATCTCTGCATTGCCTCAGAGGCTGTGTTTCTCTGTATTCTGCTCCCTCCCTCAAGTCAGTGTAGCCCACGAATGGTTTCAGTAAGTGGTCTGGCTCCAAGAGGCCTGACCTTGATCTCCTTTACTGTGGAGTTATTCAGGTGATGTGTGTGGATATCATGGTATAAATGGGATCAGAATGAGACCCTGGTATCTAGAACAGGTTAAATGAATATTACACATATCAAGAATAGTATGAAAGCTCTTTAAACACATTGGATGTAACAGCTGTCTCTGTGTTGGATGCTCCAACCTCATGCTGATAGCAGGGAAAACAGGATCTTCCTGCTCCAGGACAACCCCTTGCCTATAAGGGAAGTTCCCTATAGCTGCTGATGGAGCCTATGACACAATGGGGAGCATCACCAATTCCAGTCAATAAAGGACAGTGGTGTGCATGCACCCTAACCTGTTTGGTAGGATTCAGCACAGGGAATACTTTGCATGGAAGCAGGTATACAGTACAATAAAGCACAGATCTCTCATACTTTCTCTTTCTCTCTCTCACCCTTTCTGCTTCATTCTTTCTCTTCCCTTCCTTTCCCTTTCTCTCTCTCTCTGTAGCTTTTCATGCCCCATATAGGTTATGTTTTGGCTTCCCAGCTCAGTCCCATCTTATTAAGCCTTCATCTTTCCTCTTCCTCATCTCAAAGTCTTAACACTTTCCTTGCCATTTACCTCAATGGTGTCATAAGCCAGGAAGCCAGTCATGAGGCCAATACCATATTGAATGGCGATGCTCTGGTGTGTGGCCTGGTAGGTGGAGGAATCCTGTGGACTGAAGCGGTTGTGGTGGGCTGCAAGGACAGAAAAGTCAGCTGGTCACAGACTAAGCCTTTCTAGAACCACATGATTAGGACAAGAAAGCACTAACTCCTGGCTTGACATCTATGTTTTGTTACCTAAGATAGGCAGCGGTTCTTGCACTAGTGGTTAGTATCTTTGCACCATGTTCTACTGAACAAAAGTGCACAGCCAGCACACAGACTTATACAACAGGTGGCAGGGGCTTCAGAAAGTCATCTCATTCATTCACCTGTCCAAGGCAGGGCTACACCTAGATTGATTCTGAGGGACATGGAAAATATCCAATGGAAGATATTCCACAGCCTTCCCTAGTATCCGATCCCAGTCCTTTACTATTCTTAGAAGGAGAATGTTATTGTCAATAGTTTGTCTAAATCTCTTTGGCTGAAAACTAAACCAAATGTGTCCCTTTCCATCCAGATTATATGTGCCACAAGGAAGACATTTTTCCAGTGAACACAATGACATGGGCATCAAATGTTTGCTTTATTCTAGTCTATGCTGGGACCCAATCCCATCTCTGGCTGATTTATGGGACTTGTTATGTACAGAGCTCAGCTCTAAATGTGACTTTGTGACCAGGCATCCTCACTTACACCCACTTCGGCTCTTCCCAGATGATGACTCATGTACATTGGCTTCCCACCCTGGTTGGGAACTTCTCTCATGTAGGGGCCTTGACTGATCTCAGCTGTAAGTAGTGAAGGATTATTGCTCAGGAAAGCAGGTCCCAGACTGCTTTTCCCCTTCAAAGAAGGCCTTATCTCAGTTTGGGTGTAGTTTCTTGGTCTCCACAGCTGGCTCACATCTAGCTCTATCAGGACTGTCTCTAGCTTCCATATAGGGGGTTGTGATAAGCAATTTGTATGGAGGGCACACATCCATACCACTAACCAAGGGAATATTGGGACATATTACTAGGACCCATTCTTTGCCTCTGATGCCAGCCAGCCGGTGGGAGGGTGGCAGAAGGACACTTCCTTTTTGCTGGTGTCGGAAGGCAATAGAGTTTGCAGGTGACTTACTGCAAGCTAGGCTGGAGCAGTGCACGGAGGGCACCCACAAGTTGGAAGAGCCAGTGTCAAAGAGGACGGTGAATTCCTGGGGTGGGGTGCCGATGGAGATGGTCCCCATGTACTGAAGCTGTCAAAATAAGACAGAAACATATCAAAGAGGAAACCATTGCTATCCAGGAACCAGATTCAGAGTTTTTTTACCAAATGATTTACATCAGCTGAGGGGCTGAGTCAAGGACTCCTTGCTAAAGGCAAAGCCTGAACTAGTGTTTCTCTGGCACTACATTGCCCAGCACTGCTCCTAGTAGCTGCTGGCAGTTCAGCACTGGAAGGTGATCTCTTAAACTTATTTATGCATGTGCTGGTGTGGTCCCACTGGTGTGGCCCATGGCACATGGGCCCCCAGCTATTTTGAAGTTGGACAGCTCTGCTCTGTTTCATACTATCCTAGCCATAGCCGGAGACAAAACGTCTCAACAGAAGGATTGCATACAGGGCTGTGGTAGTGACAAGATGGGCCCGTGGTTGGGGCATGCATGGGAGTAGCAGGACTGATCAGCTCCTGACAGAAGAGTGAGGAAGCTTTGCAGAGCCAAGGAGAGCTAATCAGTTTTAGGTAACAGTTTGAAAGGATAGGGAAATAAGGAGTCAGGAGCTGGGCACCAGCAAGCTTGCCCTCCTCAGGGTTCAGAGTAGCTCATGCTGATGAGCAGGCATCCTGGCTTTCTTTGATTAAAAAAAAAATTCTAAAATTTTCAGATATACCTTTCCCCTGCCCCTGCAAATTCACATTTTTCCATGATTAAAATGAAATGCCACTATATATATATTTCTTATATATTCCATACATAGTGATGTTTCATTTTAGTCATGGAAAAATGTGGATTTTGGGTTTGGTTTTTTTATATCTGAAAATTTGAGATATTTTTTATCAGAATCCCTGCTGATGAGTGAGAATGGGGGTGAATGTATTAGAATTTTTTGCAAGAGGAGAAAATATTCCCTCAAGTGTCTTCTCCCCTACCATGGGGCACTAGCCAAGACTCTCAGGTGCTTTCTGTAGCCAACAAATCCACTGTTCTGCCATACTTACATCCATGTGGTTTGTTATGGGCTCAGTGCCAAACTTGGGGAAGTACTTGGATGCCAGGTTACGAGGATGTTTCTTCAGGAAATCGTCTAACAAGCCTTGTTCCTTAAGGTTTTGCCTCATGGATTTTCTTTTCTTGAGGGGGACCCTAAAGAACAAGGGATTGGAGAGAGACTAATCAATAACAAAAGAGCCATAGACCAACCCAGCATCTAGGAGACACAGTGCAACTCAGCTTTCGCACTGCATCAAAACCTCTTATCATTCCTGGGTGGGAGAAGACCAAATTCTGCTGAAAGTTGGTAAAAGTTATATGCACAAATCCCAATGTCCTCAGATTATGTATAAATCATATTATAAAAGGTTGTCTTTTTCCTTGCTTTCAAAAGTGAACAGAGGAACACAAGAAGCGTGTTTACAGATAGAGAGCTGAGGGACAGAGAAACCCATTGACCTGCCCAAGGACAAGCAAGTGTTCTGGGAAGGAACAGGGATGTTCTTTCTGGTAGAGCAAGAAGCTGAACTTGGATCTTCCATATCCCAGTCTAGTACCTTTACAACAAGAACTTTCCTCTTCATATCTATGTTGTGTCATGCTTGTAGAAGTCATAGGATGCACTGGAACACTGCAAGCAACAACTCAGGCCCACACTTGCAGGACTTGCCTTTCTTATTATGCCATTGTAACATCACAACATCATTATGGTAAAGACACTCTACAACTTATGGGTGGTAGTGCACATTGCATTTTCCCCTCTGGAGAAACATAGGACATAAAAGGGCCTCCTGAGACACCGAGTTCTGTCCCCTGTCATTGGAGGCAACCACACCACATTATTCTTTCCTGAAATGTATGTAGCTTTACTTGCAGAGTTGGAAAACAACAAGCTGGTTTTCTTGCCAGTCGATCCTGTATAGATTAGTTCTTCATCTGTATGCTATCCTAGAGCAAAATAACTCATAGCAACTGCCTACAGTCCTGGATGTTGTAGATTTCCAAAAATTGCTTGAATCATCTGGATAGGGAATCATTGTAGGAACATTTTATATGAAAATATTAAAATTATAGTTATTATATGGCTTTGCAGAATTGGAAAACAATATAGGACCCCATGCATAGTGACTACATAGATACATATTTGGTGTATGGTGATGCAGTCTAGGATGTGCATGCAATCCAGTTGGTCATGCAGCCTACGCAAACCCAGGGTAAAGTGGGTAGGAAGTTTCAGCATGGCCCTGTAGAAAGAAAAGAGATGAAACCCCATGCATGGTAACTATATCAGTAAAGTGTTGTCAGGTTGTAAAACATTCTCAGACAACAGCTTTAGCATGCGGTGTATGTAGATCAGTTTTCATAGTTTACATAGTCCCCAGAACAATCAATCAAATCATTAAAAATGAGTATCAGAATGCACAGTGTGCAGTGAAGACAAAGCAAGTGTTAATAGAATGCTTTGATGGTAAAGTTGGTGTCAGGAAAGGCTTTATCACATCCTTCTTTTTATGTGGAGTTGTTATGGCCTCCGGTATGCAACAGACCATGTGCATAGCTGGTGAGCTTGGAGACTTGGGCTTCGCACATGACATCTGTGTCATAAATAAACCAGCTGCAGATATGTAGTAAATAACAGATGCTCTTGCAAATTCTGGCAACCAAACAGGTCTTATGAATAAATCAAAGATGGAAGTTATGAAAGTTATTTTTTATAGCAATACTTTTATTTGGAAGGTGAAGGCTTTACAATGTTAGCAAACTCCCTCCACCCGAGGAGCATCATTCACAACACTGGAGGTGACATACATGATGTAAACTTCTGACTTGGTGAAGTAAGTGCGGTAGTTAAAAAATGTAGTACAGCATGGAATTCTGATGTGATTAGCAAGGACACCAGCATTAAGCTCTTTAGCTCTAATGTCTTAAACATCCTTCTCAGTGGGGCAGTGTTCTGGAAAGAATAATGAGCTCATCCAGTGCAAATGGAACAGCTTTCCATCCAGGTGTCTGTGTAGAATGGACCGATTGACAAAGTAATGAAGAGGTCCTGGAACAGATATAGCTATCTTCAATACAAGAAATAGGTCAGAACAGGTAGACATATGTGAGACATGGTTTAAAGATACCTGGTTGTAAGTGACCCAAACAAGCATTTCTTGGGTGCCCCCCAGAGCAATGATGTGGGGGAGGGTTATGAGCCAAAGTTAGGGGTGATTAGCATGGTTTGACTTCTTCCTTATGCATGTTATGAGAGTGAGAATCATGATAATGATGCCAGCAGCCTGTACAACAGATGCCAGATATGCCTCTTATCTTTAGCCCTTTCCCAAGGGGTGACTTAAATCTCCTTCCCTTTTCTCCTGATGAAGTTTTTTTTTTATCACAGCTTCTCCTCTTTCCTTGTAGGATTAGGTCCCAGGTTGTTTTTTGTTAATACTGAGGTTCCTCTACTCAAAAGTACTCTTTGCTATGCTGGACACTGGGTGCTGAGCTTTGAGAAATCTAGACAACAAGCTGGCAAGGAGCACAAATCCCCAGCTCACAAGACAGTAAGGTAGCCCCACTGGTAACTCCATGAAGGAAGAGGCCAAAAAAAAAATGCGCACAGTAAAACAGAGGAGGGAATTTATTGGGGAAAAAACATCTAGAAAAAGAAAGAACTAGTATTCAAGAAGAATTTAGAAAACAAACTGGTTCCCTTCCTCCTAGCATAAACACACTTCCCCTAGATCCCACCTCTGTCCCTAGCACTGGCCTGGAGTGAATAGTTTGGTCAAGGTTGTGTGTCTTGAGGTGAGTTGTTCTCAGTGCTGTGGTGCCAGCTTGCTTAAATAAATGTTTCCTTGGTTTTTCATCCTTCTTGGATGGGGCAGAATTGTCTTCTAATTTAGCTGTGCTCACTGATATCTGCAATATCAACTATTGTGCTCACTGATGCCTGCAATCCCCCTGCTTTTGAAGGGAGCGGCTGGATCTTATTGGTCTCCTGGACGCTGCAGTGAAGTAGTCACTGTATTCTTAAAACTAGAGTCACAAGACATGCAGCTGCACCTCTAATTACCATGAGGGAAAAGATGGTGAAGTTTTAGTGCCCAGTAGCTACCCATATGTATATTCTTATCCCAGGATAAGTGCAAGGTTGCCTATGCATGCTTAATGCTCTTTCCCCGAGTGCTATCTATTGGTGAAGGTTCTGGCTGTGTTGATCACTACTGCCATGGAAGTCAGGGAGTATTCCTGTTCACCTGCCTGTTGTGTTGAGACCTCATGCCCATCAGTCTGCTCTTGAGTTTCTCTTGATCTAAATAGGCTCCAGGACTGTGTGTCCATATAACCTCCCTGACTTGCTTTCTGGATGCTGTCTGTCTGTTTGTCTGTTCACTCTTCTTAGAAATGGGATTGCCAGAGCCAGGAATGACTCCCTAGAGCCCTCTGTGGCATAGGTACATCCCTGCCCAGAGTGCCTGCTGGTTGGGCATTCTGGGTTTATAGTTCATCTCTTTCTGAACACGTGATAATGAACACACACAGACACACAGCCTTTGTAAAGTGTTCCTCAAAACCCAGCCACCCTTTAATATAGACCACACAAAAGGGATACACCTCCAGACAAAAAATTACAACAATAAAACATCAGCTGGGCAGAAAAGGAAATGGGCTGAGAGTGGATCACAAACTAAATATGAATCAACAAGGTGATGCTTATTGGCGACATGTAGGGGGTGCATGTGGGTGCACATGCATCCCCTGAGATTGGCAGTGCACCCCTTGACAGAAGGGCTGCTGACACTGCTGGTGGTGCCTGCAGGCGGTTGCCACTCACCACCCCCCATCGCCAACACCACTGGCAGCATTTGCGGGAGATTGCTGATTGCTGCTGGCCTCTGCCAATGCTGCCAGTGGTGTCTGCGGGTGGTCACCAATCACTGGTCAGGAGCTCCCTGCTTGACACCACCATGCCTCTGCCATGACTACTGCCACCGCTGCCTGTGGGCAGGTGCCGTGCCCCTCCCCCCAGTCTCTAGGGGCACGCATTGTTCATGGTAGTGCTGGATGAGCATTGTAGCCTCCTGTACCCTGATCTCCTCCCCTAGCCTGTTAAAACAAATTCCATGCCCCCACTTCCCTCCCAGATATGATTTTATTGTTCAGTTTGTTCATTGCCAAAAAAATTTGGGTTTTGGCAGTCAAGGACACAGTGCCCTTGATTTGGTGGCGCAGCGAGGCTAGGGGAAGTTTGGCTTATAGGAAGAGCAGCCAGGCACAGGCACAGGCACTTGGATGTGATCGTCATTGGGGCATTATGGGACATTATCGAGCTATCTGAACAGACAATGGGGGCTGATTTGGGCCAGACTAAGCCTATCACCATTGCTTTGTTTGTAAATGGTGCTTGATCACATTGCCCTGGTTGCCGGTTCTGAGACACAATTGACAATTATGAGTATGTGGAATTTTCAAAAAGGTTCATTCAAGACATGTCTATCTAACAGCCCTGCCAAGTTTCCCAGTGACCTTTTGTGACTCAGTTGTTGTCAGGATACCTTGGCCTGGCAACTTCTTGGGCACGAACAGCTTTCCTAATGTCTCAGAAAACCAAATCCAGCAGTATGCAGGCAACGGAGCAGGAGGCTGATACATCCATCAACTGGGGCCCCAACTGGACCTGGGAAGAACTGAAGGACTTGACTGATATTTGGTCAGAAGAAAAGATCACAGAGTAGCTGGAAATTAGGAGGAATATCAGTGTATACCACAATAGCAAAAGAAATGCAGGTGCAAGGGCACAACTGGACCCAGTGCTGGAGCAAGATCAAGGCCCTGAGATGTGCATTTCATCAGCCCAAGGATTTCATAGATTTCATAGACGTTAGGGCTGGAAGGGACCTCGGAAGATCATTGAGTCCAGCCCCCTGCCCAAGGGGCAGGAAGCCAGCTAGAAAAAAAGGTTACCAGCAAGATAAGCATCCAAACGTTTCTTGAATGAGTTCAGAAGAGGTGCCTCCATCACTTCTGGAGGGAGTCTATTCCAGGTCTAGGGGGCTCGGACAGCAAAGAAGTTTTTCTTTATGTCCAGCCTAAAACAGTCATGTAGGAGTTTATGACCGTTGGTCTTTGTTATCCCTTGGGGTGCTCTGGTGAACAGACATTCCCCCAGATCCTGATGCATAGCCCTTACATAGTTATAGGCAGCCACCA